ATTTAAAATTGGGTGAAAATCAGAAAAATCTAATTCTATTGCAAATTTGCCACCAATATATAATGTAGTCTTTGGTATTTCACATCACCTGCCTGACCAAATTTCTTCTGCAGGCAAAACAAAAATAGGATTGCATCTTTCCTCAGTATATTATAGAACATTATCTTTAAAAATATTCTATAATTCTGGGCCGGCCCGGTGGCACTCTGGATAGTGCGCCGCTTGGGAAGCGCAGCGGTGCTCCTGCCCAAGGGTTCGGATCCCACATACGGACTGGTTCCCGCTCACTGGCTGAGCGAGGCGCGGGGGCAACACCGAGGGTTGCAATCCCGTTGCCGGTCCCCGGTCCGGTACGGGGGCAACACTGAGGGTTGCGATCCATTGCCGGACACGGAAAAAGACAAAAGACAAAAAAAAAATAATAATCTATAATTTTGAGCTATTTTAGAGGATTCTGTGTTGTTGTTGTTTTTTTCCCCCAATAAGACTGTTTAAAGATGTGTTTGCTGTCCTGTATCAAATATCCTGTAATATCTGCAGCAAGGCCCCTTCTCTAGAATAAACTGTGACTTCTGTTATTTTGATTTCCCTATGGAGGATCTCAGGGCAATCAAATGTATGAGTGGAAGACAATTGAGAACGTTCCCCTATCCCCCCCATTGCTTTTGTCTGAAATTGCTCTGAAGTGTTTGTTCTGTGACTTTTGTTTCCCTCTCCCCTCTTTGCAGTCCTATCACACTCATCAGTATGTGGCCAGAGCACTATGAGTGAGTATTCACAGCCCCATATGCAGAAGACGGATGTTCTGAGCAGTCGTGTTAGCGTGAGGGTGATTACTAAACTCTTGTTCCGAAGTAACACTTATGCATCCTGGATAACGATCCTAGTGGTTTGTTTGCATGGCAAATGTACTATTTAACTAAGCTAACATTCCTAGAGGTAACATCTATCAATATTTGGACATAAAACTGCTGCTCTGTTTTTTCCTTTATAGCCCCTCACAGTCTCCTCAGCTGTTTCATGATGACACCCACTCAAGAATAGAACAATATGCCACACGGTAAGAGGCTTTGATAGGACCCCTCTGCTGCATCTGCCACCCACAATATATCTTTCTGTATTAATCCGATACCATTAACATACCTTGATTTAGGGGATGTTTTGCAGGAGTCATGATTTCATTATATTGGGAATCTGGGCGCTCATCTTTTCCTTTGTAATTTGCACTTTACCAAACACCTGCTGTATTTTCTATGAAGAGTAAATCTCAATGGGATGTGATTATCCAGCTCATGAGAATCCAGACACAGTACAAGCAGGATTTAGATAATGTAACCCAGTGAATGCAAGTAGGGATTGAAAAGTATTCTCAGGAGATGGTGCACATATGAATTACAATATGTAATTGAATTTATGCTAATACTTTATTTCAGAGGTTTATTTTAGAGTTCTTGAACATAAATACAGGCTGGTCTTGATGGTGTGCACAAACTTTCAGAAAAGTAGTATGTACTAGGCATCTGTGGTCTTAATAATGGACTATGCCTAAAAAGGTTAGTTCAAGGATCCTAGAAATAGTAACATTTGAACTGGGTCTAAGCCAAGTAGAATTTCTGGAGAATAGCGGACTTGGGCTGATGGAAAAGCATGCTCAAAAGCCATTGAGCTGGGGAAGAACATGGCTTGTTTACTGGACTGCAGGAAGGGAAAGGGTAAAGCAGTGAGGGAGTGAAGGGACAGAAACTGAGGCCTGACAATGGCGGTCCCCATTGCTAAGGAGTTGGATCCTGTCCTTAGGTAAAGGGAAGTCACAGAGAGTCTTTAAACATGAGAGAAGCATAATTAGGTTTGTGTGAGGATGTAAGCCTTGCTTCAGGGTAGAAGACTGACTGCAGGGGTAAGGGGAGCAGCGCTGTGAGGTCAGTTAATTAGGAGTCTGTGCAACAGGTAACATAAAGGCCTACAGGCTTTAAGGCAGTGGAGGCAGAGGTGTAATTCAACGTTAGATGTTTTGATTTTGCAGGCTTGTTAGAATATATGGACCTTTCTATGTTTTGTCAGCATTTTGACAATTTAAGAATGTCTGAGGCTGTGCTTCCTTCCTATTAGCTGTGTCCTGCGAGGTCACGTTATCTAACCTCCTCATTTTCGTTTTTCAGACTGGCCCAGATGGAAAGGACTAATGGGTCTTTTCTCACTGATAGCAGCTCTACCACGGGAAGTGTGTAAGTAAATCCTGAAATTAGCACTGCCTGGGAAGGCCAGTTCTTGTGTTATGGTTGTCGGAAATAATCTTCATTGCCTGAGGCTCTGAATGCTGATCCCAATCAAAGTTGATAACTGTGGTTCCAAAAATGTCTACATAGATTTTATGCTTTCAAACCAGGATAGTATAGACTAGATGTATTTATTTACTTAGTTTCATGTAAGTTAATGAAAAAAAAAATCCTACCTTGGTCAACTAATCTGGCTCAGGAAAATCAGATTGTTTTATTTATAATAACGGGTATACATATATTTATTCCACTTGTGTCATATTTCTTATTAATATAACAAAAGTAATTCCACAGAATCTGTGCCCTTTTTATAAAACCCTTTTCCTTCTGCTTGTTTACATTTTTTCCACAATGTCTGCATTTAGCAGCCTTGACCCACACAAGTTTAGACATATATTCCCCACCCATCACTGAAAAATATTAACCACCTGCCAATATTTTATTTTATTAGAAACTAGGAAAAGCCTCGTTGACTTTAGAATGCCTTTTTAAAAGCTTTCTAACCAAATATTTTATCTGCAGTTACCCCATTTGTGTGTATTCAACTTTGTGGTGAAACTTTCTTGGAAAATATTTTATCTCTGATTTTCTCAATGTTGTGTGTCATCTCGCTTTTGGAACTTTTCCTTTTTTTTTTGTTTTTGTTTTTGCCTTGGAATTCAATTTTAAAATTGTGGATGATGTCTAAAAGACTCAATTGTGTAAAATTCATTGTGGTTTGGATCTGATGAGGAGCTGTAAGGTAGACAGAAAAGTTGTAGAACATAGTACTTGAGTGGTTTTGCTAAAAAAAATTGTGGAAAGAGCCAAGTGAAATATCTTAAGCACTCTAATATAGAATGTATCCCTTCAATATTTTTTAAAAATTGTTTTATTTATCATTAAGGTTACAAATAAAAGTTTTCAGGAGGTTTTTCAATTTTAAATTTCAAAGATTAGCATCTTAATACTTGACAATAATACAGTAGTAATTTATACATTATTATTTATATCTTATGAATGTAGAACAATTCCTAAATCAAGATAATAGCGTAGTTATAATGCTTATTTCATATTTAACCTAACTTAGATTTCGTGTGTATCTTGAATATCTCCTAAATCAGCATAATTTCCATCAAAGTTGGCAATAGCCAAAGAATTAAAGGAAATAGAAAATAACAATTAAGACCAAAGTCTTCTTGCTTTAAAATGTGTTTGTCATACTCTGTGAACAAAGTAAATGTACTGCTCAAATTTATTACATCCTATCTTCAAATTAGAATAAACATTAATTTTTTTAAAATTCAGCACTCATGTTTCGGAAAAGGAAAATAATCAGATGATTAACAGATGAGTTCATTTTAATATACTATCATTAGATATATTAACTCATTCATCCATCCCATACATCCAACAAATATTTATTATATACGTGCCATGCAGTGGTGTGCTGGAGCCAGTTGTCAGAGCTGGTTGTTAAATTTTCAAGAAGTTTTTAAGCTGTTTGTTAAACAGATCCTTTATTTAAAATTGATTTATATACATTTATATAGTTATAATTAAATAAATTAGATTAAAAAAAGTAGAACTCAAAACTCATTATGCCCTAATTATTATTAGATTAAAAAAAGTAGAACTCAAAACTCATTACGCCCTAATTATTTTACTTCATTTTACTATTGTGTATGCTCTTGGGGTTATTTATTTTATCTGTTAGATGGTATGTGGTTGTGTATTTTATCCCAACTCCACATTCAATGAAGTCAATAGCTTGAAATTGACCAGGATGAAAGTATTTAAACCACAGAAATTGTGAGTGCTGTAAATCAAGGCCTTTTTATTTATCTTTTGGAGAACCTGTTGTTAAGCATTTACCAGCACACCACTGCCGTGTGCCCAATACTGCAGTGGGTCTACAGATGTGGATACTGTTTTCATGGATCTTACAGGGTGGAAGGGAGACAAACGAGTGCTCCTACAGGAGAAGAACATGGTGAGGGCATTTGTGATAGACAGAATAATGGCCCTCCAAAGATGT